GCTGGTGTCTGGAGAATCATGGATGCCCTTCCAGGTGAGAACCATACAGAAGAGTTGCGTAGGCCTGTACTAGAAATGGAGTGAGTGCTGGGGGGGCAGAGGGCAATGAATGAGGTACCCCACAGTACCTGCCATTGGAGGGAGCTCATGAAAGGATAAAGCACAACCGATAGTCTCAAGTGCTTATGATGACTTGACACAGTTCCGCATGAAAATCCAGTTCACCGACATGGGTAAAAACAGTGGAAAATTCTCTGTGTTTTTGGATTTGGCTCCGTAAAGGGCACAGAAGGAAAGAAGGCCAGTCTGAGCATGATTCCCACTTCTCCACATTCTCTGGGACTGGCAAAGTGATGGCTATGGGAACTTACTCCAGAATGTTACAGCTTTGCCTCATAGGTACATTCTGTCTCTAATGTCTGGCAGAAATCAAAGCATGGGGGTGGGCCAGCTGACCCCAGTTTAACTCAGGCAAGTGTGATGAGATCAGAACATAAGCTTTAAACATCTCTGTCCTCAACACTCAAAGTACAAGTAATGTCAGATTTGTAAAAATTTCTCAGTTTTATGTAGGATTCACTGAAGATCCTCCCACCTACCCAACTTTTAGGGAAATCCTAGGTCATTTACTTGAAGGACTGTTGGTATGGGTTTCTTTCTATCTCCTTTTTCATGAGACAAGAACGCTAAAAGGACAGGAGGGAGGTGAGGCTTAGACAGACCAGAAATGATGCCCACCGGGCATCAAAACCTTGAGCAGGGGAGAAGCAAGTTCGGTGTATACGTGTCTCTACTGGCCTTGCTCCTTGTGGCTGTGTGGTGGCTTGAAGGAGGGGTGGTCCCCTTATCTTTCCTGCTCCAAGCTGTGGTAAAGTCTCTTCACCCACCTCTCTGCCTGGAAGGCTGCTCTCGGGGAAGACTACAGACCCTCATAGCTAAACTCAGCTCCCATTCTTCTTTATACCTTCTTAGGCCACAACCACCAGCTCTGACCTGCATCCCCCCTGCCCTCTTCTGCGGAGTTCTATTGGGTATGGATTCCCCCCACAAAACTAAAAGTCAAAAGTACATTTCATTGCCTGTTCTTGAACAAGAAAGCTTAGTCACTTCACTGGAACTAGAATCAGCTTTGATTAATTTCAAATTCCCTTTTTTGGTCTGTGAATTCTTAGGCATATGTAAACATAAATGCGGAGCAGAGGAGAAGGAGAGAAGAGTGACATGGCAATAAGGGGACCGGGGTGAGGGGTGACACACAGCTCCAAAGTCACTCACCGGAACCAAGAAGAACCAGCTGGCATCAAAGGCATTTCTGTTGCTGAAAGTAACAAAAATAAAATTTCTGGCCTAGAATTCCACCAGAAGATTTTAGGAGTTATAATTATTTACTCATATAAGTTTCTGATGGAAGGGTCCCTGCCTTGACCTTCATTGGCTATCAGTAGGCATTTGATTTCAGCCAGTTGCCAAGTTCCAGACTGACCTGCACCATTCTCATCAGCAAAGATCACCTTAGTCATGGGATATTTAGAGACACAAAGAATTGACAAAGGTTTTTCTTTAAGATGTTATTGCTTTGAATTAGGTATTACATTCCCCCAAAGTCCTCTATTAAGCTCCCTTTGAAGCATCTAGAGTGCAGTAGGTGATACTTTGGGTTCTAAGATCATTTCAAGAAGCTCACTACAGGCTTTTTGGCTTTCTGAATCACACACACACACACACACACACACATTTGTGTTCGTGTGATGGAAATATTTAATATTTGCTTCATATAATAATTTTGAAAGCTCAGTGAAGAATGCTAAAGGGATTTGTTAAAAATGCAGGTCATTTCCTAAGATTCTGTCTTAATACGTTTGGTATGGGCCTTAGGAACCTGTATTTTTAATAATGGTCCTCTCAGGGGTGAGAGGACCACTTTCTGTAAAACTTATTTGATATCATCTACATGTCAAGCAATTTGCTAAAAGTGTTACAGGCTTTATCAAACCATCACCTCAGTTCTGTAAAACAAATACTACAGGCCTCGTTTTATAGATGAGTAAATGGGAGCTGAGAGAAAAGTTAAACCTCAAGGTCATTAAGTAAGTATGTGGTAGATCAGAGATTCAAATTAAGTTATATCTAATGATTGCAAAACATAAAGTTCTTCAATGATATTACAGTATAAAACAAATTTAAGTATCTAGGATGTTTTGATTCTAGCAAATGTGGCCATTCTTTACTAATACATCTTAAAAAAAAAAAAAAAAGAAAGAAAGAATCTATTCAACCCTGCTAGCAAGGGAGTCTGGGAAATAAAATTTCAAGGCTTCTAGTCACATCTGTACAGGGGAGAGCAAAGGAAGGAAAGCGTGGGTGAACATTATTCTATAGAGACATCACGTATGTGATGGTTGTAGAAATGCACCTCGCTGGTCTCCATGCTGCTCACTCTGATGTCATTTATGTAACACGTTTATGTAACATCATGGTGTGTGATATTAGTTCATTCATTCACAAAGCTAGACCTTTTTATCTAATCTGCGATAACTGGAGAAGGAAGAGCACAGAGAACCAAGTTGAGGAGTCCTTGAACACCAGTATATCTCCAGCACCTATCAACGTGGTGTACAAATAATAAACAATAAACATTCCGCCAACAAATATTTTCTCTTCAGCCAGCATTTTACCTTGAGTCACCTACTTCTACCCATCAAACATACCAATCTCCGTGCTTATAGGAATATAAATTATATGTTCCCCTTGGAGGACAATCTGGTGAAATACATTAGTCTTAAGAATGTGGGGCACCTGGGAGGCTCAGTTGTTAAGCATCTGCTTCCACTCAGGTTGTGATCCCAGGGTCCTAGGATCAAGCCCTGCATCGGGCTCCCTGCTCTGTGGGAAGCCTTGCTTCTTCCCTCTCCCACTCCCCTTGCTTGTGTTCCCTCTCTTGCTGTGTCTCTCTGTCAAATAAATAAGTAAAATCTTAAAACAAACAAACAAACAAACAAAAAACAAAGTCTTAAGAATATATATACTCTGTGATGTAGCATCTGAATCACTCTGTGATTCTAGGACCTAGAGAAATAATAGAAATAGTGTATAAGAATGGCATATTTAGGGGCGCCTGGGTGGCTCACTGGGTTAAAGCCTCTGCCTTCGGCTCAGGTCATGATCCCAGGTCCTGGGATCAAGCCCCACATCGGGCTCTCTGCTCAGCAGGGAGCCTGCTTCCCTCTCACTCTCTCTGCCTGCCTCTCTGCCTACTTGTGATCGCTCTCTGTCAAATAAATAAATAAAATCTTTAAAAAAAAAAAAAGAATGAGCCTATAATGTCAACAGTGTTTCTCCCTGGGCAGTGGGATTGTGACTTTATAGGTCAGAACAGAAAATCAGACTCAATGAGACCTAAGGGATCTGAGAATTTGCAGTACTCATTTTAGGTAATGATCTATGCAGCTTCTCAGAGTCATGAAAATATGGTTTCTTGCTCCCTTCTTCAGTCTCCTTCATCTTCAGTGCACAAAAGAGGACCACTTCGCCCCAAGGGATGCCCTCAGATAGCCACGTGATTCAGCAAACTTGTTCCCCATTCAGAGGGAGGGAAAGGGTCTCTTCCAATTCTTCTTGCTTAAGTCCTGGGTTTTGCTCTAAGGGCTCAAGTTAAGCTTGTGCTTAATGCTGAACCAGCACCGTACCCAGGAAGGTAGGGTTGGCTTCAACCAATCTGGAATTTCTCTGGTGCTGGGCTTCAGGATCCCTTGAATGGGTGATGGTAAAGACCCCAGTGGAAAATCAGGGCCCCTTTATCCGAAGAGGTGAACAGAGCCCGAGGAAGCACCACAAACATGCATGGCAGTGGGTAATTACCTATGCTATGCCTTTTACTCAATAACCTTATGTCCTTTTTTTTTTTTAATCTGTCCTTTAGTCATAATTCATGTATTCATGTTAGTTATGCTGTGGTAATAAATAATACCTGGAGAGCAGCGACTCAAGACAGCTCAGATTCCTTCCACCCATGTTCCATGCCCATCTTGAGCTGGGCTGGGAGTCCTGTTTCATGTTGTCTTTACTCAGGGACACAAACGGGCAGACCCACAGCCTCCTGGAATGTCACTGCTCTTTGTGAAGGCAGAAGGACAACAAAGCAAGAAGCCATCAGCCCTTCTCTCCCATTTATTTCCTCAGCCAGGATGAGTGGCATGGCCGTGCTTAGCATCGGGAGGGCAGGGAAGTGTGATTCTGCCCTGTGCTCAGAGGCAGGGAGCTGCAGATAGACGTGTGAGCAGCACAAAGGATCGCAGGAAATCAGGAGACCACGAGACTCGGGGAAACACAGCCTGGGTGCAAATTCTGACTTCACACTATGCTAACGCTATCATTTTAACCAAGGGAATAAGTCTCAGTTTCTTCCTTTCTTGAGCAGGTATAGTAATGCTTATGCCATATGGTTGTAATAAGGTTACATCTATAATTTCAAATACTCGAGTGTCTGAGGCATAATAGATGCTCAATAAAACTAGCTGAACGAGAAATAATCACTGTGCAGACTACGGTTACCTAGCCACATACCGATGATGTTTCAGAGTCACATAGTTATTTTTTTGTTTTGTTTTTGTTTTTTTGTTTTGTTTTTGTTTTTTGTTTTTTTTTAATTTTATTTTTTATAAACATATAATATATTTTTTTCCCCAGGGGTACAGGTCTGTGAATCGCCAGGTTTACACACTTCACAGAACTCACCATAGCACATACCCTCCCCAATGTCCATAATAACCCCACCCCCCCTCCCAACCCCCCTCCCCCCAGCAACCCTCAGTTTGTTTTGTGAGATTAAGAGTCACTTATGGGGCCCCCTCCCCCAGCGGAGGCTGGCCCGGCCCGTTTTACCTGCCTCCGGCCTGTGCCCCGCGCGTTCCACCCTTCCCGGCCCCACTTTGCTCGTTTCGGGGTCTGGACGCTCTGATCAGGGCCCGGGGCTGAGACCCCCTGCTTCGCTGGGACCCCCCTGCCCCCGCCTTCGTTCAGCTCTTGCTCGGGACCATGACCTCTGAGGTGGCGCGGCACCTGCTCTTTCAGTCTCACATGCCAACAAAAACAACCTCTCTGTCTTCACAAGTATCTGATGATGAACAGAAACAAAAAAAAGAAAATATTCGTTCTTTAACTATGTCTGGCCATGTTGGTTTTGAGAGTTTGCCCGATCAGCTGGTCAATAGATCCATTCAGCAAGGCTTCTGTTTTAATATTCTCTGTGTGGGGGAGACTGGAATTGGAAAATCAACGCTGATTGACACATTGTTTAATACTAATTTTGAAGACCATGAATCCTCACATTTTTACCCACATGTTAAACTTAAAGCTCAGATATATGAACTCCACGAAAGTAATGTTCGATTGAAATTGACCATTGTGAATACAGTAGGATTTGGTGACCAAATAAACAAAGAAGAGAGCTACCAACCAATAGTTGACTACATAGATGCTCAGTTTGAGGCCTATCTCCAAGAGGAGCTGAAGATCAAGCGCTCTCTCTTTAGCTACCACGATTCTCGCATCCACGTGTGTCTCTACTTCATCTCCCCGACAGGTCACTCTCTGAAGACACTAGATCTCTTAACAATGAAGAGCCTTGACAGCAAGGTGAACATTATACCAGTGATTGCCAAAGCAGATGCAATTTCTAAAGCTGAATTACAGAAGTTTAAGATCAAGCTCATGAGTGAATTGGTTAGCAGCGGCGTCCAGATATATCAGTTTCCAACAGATGATGAAACTATTGCTAAAATCAATGCTTCAATGAATGGACATTTGCCATTTGCTGTTGTAGGAAGTATGGATGAGGTAAAAGTTGGAAATAAGATGGTCAAAGCTCGCCAGTACCCGTGGGGTGTTGTACAAGTGGAAAATGAAAACCACTGTGATTTTGTAAAGCTCCGGGAAATGCTCATTTGTACAAACATGGAAGATCTGCGAGAACAGACCCACACTAGGCATTATGAACTTTACAGGCGTTGCAAACTGGAGGAAATGGGCTTTACAGATGTGGGCCCAGAGAATAAGCCGCTCAGTCTTCAAGAGACCTATGAAGCTAAAAGACATGAATTTTATGGAGAACGTCAGAGGAAGGAAGAAGAAATGAAGCAGATGTTTGTGCAGAGAGTAAAGGAGAAAGAAGCCATATTGAAAGAAGCTGAAAGAGAGCTACAGGCCAAATTTGAGCACCTTAAAAGAGTTCACCAAGAAGAGAGAATGAAGCTTGAAGAGAAAAGAAGACTCTTGGAAGAAGAAATAATAGCTTTTTCAAAGAAGAAAGCTACCTCGGAGATATACCAGAACCAGTCCTACCTGGCATCAGGCAGCAACCTGAAGAAGGACAAGGACCGTAAGAACTCCAATTTTATGTAAAACAAAGGTTCCAGATCACAGAAGGTCATCACAAGCAAAAGTTATTAAAATGTTAGAAGTATGCTTTGATTTTCTTGCTGTTTTTATTTGCTGTATCAGTTATTCTATATCTGGCAAATGGCTGTAGTTATTGCCATTTATGGAAGATATTCTTAAGTATAAGGTTAATGTATAAACCACAGTGGATGATATCACTTTTATATTCACTGTTAGAAGTTTTCAAGTTGCTGGTTTGTGAGGAATCTAAATCATTTCTCCTGTTGCCCATTTATTGTCACTTACATGCGTTGTACCACAAAGCGTCAGTGCCGCTGAAAATACAGAAGTCATTCATTGTATGGTTATCTGATTGTATTTATATTCCAAGATGAACTCCTTTTTTGTACATAATAAAGGTAAATTTTGGGAAATGTGTTTTAAAACGTATTACCCACCTAAAGCTCTAACCTCTTGATAGTTTTATAGAACTTCTTAATTTTTGATATCATTATCCAGTTGGTAACATGATCCTAAGATTTGTATCAAATTATGTAACATGGCCTTCCATGCTTCAGTGTGCCTTACTGTGGTTGATGTATTGTTGTGATGAAACAAGTTGTGTTTTAAGGTAAAAATATGTAGGTATAAATCCCTTTTCTAGTGATGAGTACCTTTGAACCTGAGGTATTGCCACTCTATTTCATTAGAATGTTTTACATACTTGTTGTTTAAAACTCTCTTCCAGAGGAAAAATCATAAGGTAGAATCATCTTATTACAAATATTTTTTAAGACCATAATTGTGAGCAACTGAATATTAAAGATATGAAAACTTAGGTAATTCATATATAAGGGGATGTTTGGATTCAGTGCCTTTGTAGTATTCTTAGGACAATTTAATGTCTTTTAACTTTTTCTTAACAGTCACTGGTATATAATTTTTCATTTTTTTACTTGAATATCCTAAATAAAATTGACATTTACTCTTGACAAATAAAATATATATCTACATATTTACAAAAAAAAAAAAAAAGAGTCACTTATGGTTTATCTCCCTCCCAATCAGAGTCACATAGTTATTTTATTTTCACTTTTAAATTCAGAGACAGTGTCTAATGAAACTGGGGAAATTGCCATGTGGGGGAGGACAGAAGGAAGTTGCCTCTCTCGGTGAGAAGCTGTCATCGGCTGGGTTCCCCAGTGAACAGACTCTGGGGTAAACACTTGTTTGCAGGAACAGCCTCTGCAAAGGGATGGGTTACTCTTGATCTGGCGTCTGTGGGTTTGAGCCCTCCATTGGGTGTAGAAATTATTTTAAAAAAATAATAAAAAGTAAACCAGCGAATGGCACAGACTGTAACACTGGAGGAACCCAGACTATGACTTGTCATTATTTCTCACTGAACTATGCTTCCATCTGAATAGTAAGTGAGGTGTTTCAGTTTAATATTCTAATATATAAACTGGGACATTTATAAAAAAATGCAGAATCGGCATAGAATCTAAATTATTTTTCTCTCGCCTCTCTTTTGTCCTCATGTAGGAAAAATTGCCCCATGTTAGGTCACAAATGGAACTTATTTTCATGGCAATCACCTCAGAAATAATTCCTGGAAGGTAAAAATCATTATTTGGCTTATTCTATGCTGGATGAAATACTTTCTAAGCCAATAATTCTTAGACTGGAGTATGGAATTTCTGGAGGACTTCATAGGGACATTTACCTACTTCTTAGAGGCATAACCATTTAATGATTTTTAATTTAAAAGTATATATATTGGGATGCCTGGGTGGCTCAGTCAGTTAAGCCTCTGCCTTTGGCTCAGGTCATGATCCCAGGGTCCTGGGATGAGCCCTGCATCGGGCTCCTTGTTCAGCGGGGAGCCTGCTTCTCTCTCTCCCTCCACCTGCCACCCTGCCTGCTTGTGCTCTTTCTCTCTCTGACAAATAAAGAAATAAAATCTTAAAAAACAAAACAAAACACTCAGTATATATATTTAAGAGTACAAAACTGCATCATTTAAAAAATACAACTATATCCTTTAAATAAACCTCATACTTGCTGTAGAGCATTCAAACCACATGGAGACACAAATGTGTTCTGCTTGCCTTTAAGGGGACTTTACTGAAGAAGTCGGCAAAGCCTATTCTAAATAGTGATAGCTTTCTAATTACTGGCGAATTACCGTTTCTTTCAAATTTCATGGTTTTTATTTATTTTTTTACAGATTTTATTTATTTATTTGACAGATGGAGATCACAAGTAGGCAGAGTGGCAGGCAGAGAGAGAGAGGAGGAAGCAGGCTCCCTGCTGAGCAGAGAGCCCGTGTAGGGCTCGATCCCAGGACCCTGGGATCATGACCTGAGCCAAAGGCAGAGGCTTTAACCCACTGAGCCACCGAGGTGCCCCAAATTTCATGGTTTTTATACCAAAAAGTCACACTTCCAGCGACTGTTTTCTTGGGAAACAGAACAAACAAAGCTTACACTTCTGTTACACCCTTAGTGGTGTATCTTATCCTTCAAAGGGGCTCTATGTAAGCAGGCCAATGACACTCCAAAGAGATAGGAAGAACCTACCATCTCAAAGAATCTTTCAAAACATGGTCATGATGGAATGATCAGTGAGAACGGAATGAGTGATCATGGTTGTCAAGAGTTTTCCACAGGCCAGAATCTTTTCACAAAGTTGATCTCATATAATGCAGTTCTCAGGAACTATGTATTATCCTGATTTGAGGAGTGAAGAAACAGAGGCTCAGAAATATTAAGAAAATGGGAAAGGGCTTAAACTCAAGTTTGTTGGTGTTCAAAAATTACAGCTCCTTTATGTTAACAAGTTGGCCAAAAATCCTAAATTCTTTTGACTTCTATAGAGAAGACCTAGAGCACAGAGAAAGGTGTCTGGGCTTTGGAATCACACAGAAATTTAGATCCTGGTTCTGTCTTGTACCAACTCTATCACATTTAGAAAGGACTTAATGTTTTTTTGAGCCTAAGATATTTTATCTAGAAAATTCCAAAACCCAGTGCTGAGTTGTGAGGATAAGAATGATATATAAAAGCACAGCAGAAGTTGAAATAAATAATAGTAATTTTGTTAGATATTGTATTTAAGATACACAGAATAACATTCTAGGAGCTTCCAGATCTAGCATTATATAATTCCTTGGAGGATGAATTCAGCAAATATGACAAAATGAGTGTGTCACTTCTCCTTCCCTATCTAGTTAGAATGAAAAACCCTGAGTCACTGCAGAGCCCTGGGCAGGAGAGGGAAAATGTTCTGAGTCAGGGGCTCGCCTACCTGTATAATTCAGCCCAGCCCTTTTGCTTATGCTCCTCCAAGCAGTTGCTGACAGATCAGCAAATACCGTCTTCCAGTTTTCCCAAAGAAGCCTTGGTAATATAATATCCTCAGTATGCTGTGGCCACTGTTTTTTTGTTTTGTTTTGTTTTGTTTTGTTTGTTTTTTAATCTTCTTCTTTTACCTGACCCACTTTTGTGTGTGATATTTTCTCCACCATTTGAACCAGTTTTAATTAAAGCTGATAATTCTGGGGTGCTTTCTACATGCTCCCTGATGAGTGTGATATAAATGGACACAATAAACAGACAATCTAATATTGATAGAGTCTACAGCTGCATCTGCTAATTAGGGCCAATAAAGGCTTTTGGGGCAAGAGTTCCCATGTGACATTTGTTTAATTAAAGCCTTTGTCTGCCCTACTCAGAAGGGTGAAAAATATTCCACTTAAAATGGACTGAAACAAACATAGCTTTTAGAATGCAGAACATTCCATAATATACATTCCTGGACTTCTAGAAGGAAGCTTTTAGGCTGAAATAATGTTTTCTCTTGATAATATTTACAACGTGGTTGTTGTTTTAATGAAACTGGATCATTTATTTTATTTCTCAAGCCACCTGTATACTTAAGAGTAGGTTTGATCAATAAGCTTTAAGGGAAGGGAATAGATTCACAGATAAGGCAGGGATCATGGAACCTCCTGGCAGATTGGATCCCTCCTATATTATCCCATGGATGATGGGCTTGCCTTGACCAACTATATAATGTTTGCTCTCAATCATGAGTTATTTACTGCAGATCTTTTGGTACCTTTTATAGGTCAAGGAAAAAAAAAAAACACATGTAGTTAGATAATGAAGTGGAAAGGGCCTTGGGCACAGAGACTGGAAGTTTGGATTTCACTCCTAATTTTGCAATGAATTTAGGAAATTATTCTTCAAGTCTCAGTTGCTTTACCTTAAGAAATGAATGTATGTATATTTAGGGAGGGGTTTAACCTCCTTGATTTCAAGACTTTACTGCTTTAATTACTCTGATTATACTTTGAGGGGATTCTTCTAATGCGGTTCATATGACCTGCCAATTTTCAAGTAATTAAAACATAAAAGCATATGTTAACAAATTGACAAATTATTCTTTCACAATCTATCTTGTAAGGTTTTTACTTTTTGATGATATATGTTGTAAGGTTGCTTTTATTTCAATATGAAAAATTCCAGTTATAAATGAATTATAGATGCAGAGAATGAATGGCTAATTAATAGGAAGTATTGGCTCTTAGAAACCTAGATAAAATGATGCTTTTGTGGCATAAGTCGAAGACTCAGATCTATATGGCTGTTCTTGGTTCATGATTCAGCCCTATATTTTGCTAAAAATGATAAATAGTGCAGTGTCAATTCTACAGTGCACTCCCTCTCCATATATTGTTTCTGAAATCAAGATGCTTCTCAAAAATCAAAGCCAAAAAGAGCTAGCCTTTGTTTACAAGATGTCATTACCTCCAGATATGCAAATTTCGCTGTGCGTGCGTGCGTGCGTGTGTGTGTGTGTGTGTGAGAGAGAGAGAGAGAGAGAGAGAGAAAGAGAGAGAGAGAGAGAAACAGAGGAGAAAATTTTTATTTGATATTCACCTGTGTTTAGTTACTTGCACTATACTGGGGGTTAAATTTCAGCTTTTATATTTAGGACCCTAATTGTTACTAAATATGCCTTCAAAAATATTACCCTAGGAGGCAGTATTGGAAAAAAACAGTGATTATGAATGTTGAT